AATCTCATCAAAGCCTTGCTATACCGCTTCCTGATTTTCATTTCACGCAGGTACAACGCCTTTTGGATTTGGGGCTTTTCCCAGGCAGGTCTAATTCCATTTTGTTATCCCAGGAGTGAATGGACTTTATACGTCGCGTGCGTAGTCGAATCGAGAGCCATATGTGTATTGCATGGCGCCTTTGACCTTTCCGCTACATATACGTCTCGAGAAAAGCAAATATTTGGGTGTAAAATACCTGTAATGAAATTTTCGCCACATCGGTGTATGTGCATACAAACATGCAAACCACAGTGATGCTAAAATATTTGCTAACCTTGGATACCAGATTCGAACCTCCGATTATCCTTTCCTAGGGCTCACCTGTTACCCTTTGTACCTCTGAAGCCCTTCATTTGCGTTGCTGTCGTTTTTTTTTAACCCTAACGGTGCAATCAGCAGCCGTCCATCAACGGAAACGATCTGTGGAGTACAAATCGGCATTGAACAAAGTTAAGCTGAGGCTCAAAACCTTTAGCATCGTCGCGTGCGTAGTCGAATCGAGAGTTGTATGCACATTGTTTTAAGTGCCTCATATCCTAGTAACATTGCACATTTCTACGTGTGAGTTTTGCTACCAGTATATCAACGCGATTTGGTTGTAAATTCCAACCAACCCATTTATAGTTGGACTAAAATATAGCCTAGGTATGGTATGCTAGAATTGAAGTTTGGACCTTCTGGTATACTGTTTTATGTTCGCATTTCTTAGTGACATAAAATGGCATACCGATGATCAGCTGGGCTTGCTTTATTTTAATATTAACAGATCTAAGTGACCTACCACTTCATAACTTCTTCCTTTTGTTTAGTGTTTGTTTTCCTGTCTAATGTCTTCATCATAAACCACATCGTTGTCAGGGCAGATAGCACAGCAGTAGTGGTTTTCGTTATTATAAGCATGGTGCTAGTTCGACTCCGTTTTGAGCTAACCTAACCTCTCATCCATCCGAGGTCGGCAAATTGGTACCGCACTTGTCTGAGAAGAAAAATCAGTCTCTGCAATCCAGTTGGGAACGCTCCAGTCCGGCTATCTCAGGACTCCAGGGAGAATTGCTCGACCAGCATTCTACAGTATTCAACATGAAATGAAAATCCTCAAGCAGCAATCGAAGTCACACTTAAAAACTTGGAAGGCCTTCGTAGACGATGGATGCGAAAAAACTAATTGGATGTGAGAAGTGTTGGGATCCGCACAGTAGACGTAAGGGGGATCAAATAAAATAAAAAATAAATAAAATTTGCTAAGCATTCGTGCCGGAATGTGGAAGAGTAGAATTAAGGAGTAAATCAAGCTCGCAGAAAATATAATAAAATAAATAAATAAAATAAATATTATGAGCAAGTGAAGCCTTTTGTCCTTATTTCAAATGGTCTTTCCTAATATCCTCCCATTGTTGTCAAGTAGAATTCAAACCTTAGTACTGTATTACTTATTCCGTTTAGTACGGTAGTTACACGATGTATAGATTACAAAATACAACAAACAATAAATTTCTGCATGTTTGATTCAAATAAACGGTACCTGTTAAGTCCATCGTTCTAAAAACCCTTGACAACCCACTAACATCACTCTACTTAATTTCTCATTTAAGCTAAAATACTCCCTTAAGTTTATTGTTCAGATTTTTATTCATCTTTTCAGATGACATCGTTGTCCATAAAACCAAACGAACGAGAAGTTTGCTAGTGCCGCTACGACCTCTCTTCACGACAATCTCATCTTCGACCTCAACAAACTCGCACCGTCTTGTATCCTCGTCCTGCCATTGGTCACTAGCAGAATCCGCCCTGCGGTGATTGGACAGCCTTAAAACGAACGCGACTTGCGCTTTTGCCATGTTTTCTCTTCTCTTTCATGCTTTCGCCAGTTGATGCCGAGTTCACACCGTGTTCTTTCTAACGATGGTTTTTGACAGTCGAAAGCATGAAAGTTGAGCTTGTATGTTGTTACAAACCGAATTGTATTATACTGTAACTTACACTGATCGTTGAGCTCAATCATAGTTGTTTGCATTGTCTATTTATGCAGAATAAATTGTTTCTTTTCCCTCTGAGCATTCAATACCAAGTTGTCGAAATTACACACTGCGCCACGGAGGCCGTTGCTCTGCGTCTCACTCAGCTAGTTTTTCTATCTACCAGTGCCATCAACAATCACGTCAACGAGATAGCTCTCCAGTTCACCGTTGACTAGTGAATGCTGATTACTCTGGTAGATAGAAAAACTAGCCGAGAGAAACGCAAATCAAGGACCTCCGTGGCGCAGTGTGTAATGCGCGAACCCTCAGAAAGGGAAACCGTGGTTCGATCTGACTTGGGGTCCAAGCTTTGCGAGTTTCTCTGCGCGTCATTGTGGTTGATTTCATATAATACTCTGCCGTGAAAATGTAGTAGGCAGTAAATAAAAAAGTAAAGCATTTTCGAAATTTTCTTCGTTTTCTCAAAGTGTAACGCGCATCAGAATCGCAATTACCCACGAACACTTTGTAGCAAGGTTAAATATGCAAGTATGCAAAAACGAGGGAGATAATGGACCTGTGATTAACACAAAGACAGTTGGCTTCTCAAAGGGTACTACGTAAGTCTTCCAAATATTTCTTCTTATTTATTGCATGACACGACATTACATGTATAACACTGTAGGGATCCCAGCACTTCCTCAATTCGATTCGTTTCCTCGCACTCACCATTCGCGAGGATTCGTCAACATTTTGCGTTTGAGCTTGGCTGCTACTTGAGGAATTTTCCTCTTCTTCACGAATGTCCTTAAATGTTGCTCAAGTCGTCACTTCTTGAAATCTTGAGATACCCGTGCTAAGGCGTTCCCAGGTGGATTAAAGAGAGTGAGGTTTTCCTATACAATTCTAATGTCAATATGTATTCGTTCTCTGATAAATTTGCACGAGATTGGTAAATAACCTTTATTCGGCTAACATGTCAGCACCTTCGTCTTCAACAGACCCAATGATCCGAGTCGATGATTGGTCACACCGAGGTTAAGCGACAGTTAACTTTGGCATATTATCATTCTCTTTGCTATCTAATATCAATTTCGTAACCTGGGAACGATGATAAGCTTGGTGTGCCAGACCCGTGCTGGTTCCGACAAGCGGCTAGCTAGGTTGACCCGTCAGAGTAATCTACGAGATCACTATCACTGCGCTACCTTCTCCCTGTCCAGATACTACTCTCAAATAAAACCAAAAAAAACGAAAGGTTCTTAAAACATTTCTATTGTAATTGATGTGTCACAGATTTCGTCATATTCAGGGCGACGTTGATTTGAGCTGCGCAGCCGAAATTCTCTGAGATGTCATGCACATCAAAACCGCCTCGTTCAGCTTTTGAGAACGAAGACATTGGGATATATAAAGGACAAAGGATCAAGTTCGCAGCGCTGACCTATCCTTGAGGGATGCGTCATGCACTCAACTCCATTAAACACCGTCAGAGGTGGTTGAATGGATATCTGGCCCACACAGTTTTTCACGGTGACTGTGCTACTATCATCTCAGACAAGTTTGATACCGTTTTGCCCACCCCGGAAGGATGGAAGGCTTGGTGAGCTTGTGCGTGGCGAACGACCTCATGTGTATTGCAGGGCGCCTTTAACCACTGCACTAAACGCGCTCCCGGTATGTACAACTTCCTATTTGGATACTTGGACGGCCCATTCTCACCAGTTGTGCGGGCCTCAACATAAACTCAATTTTTCGCAGTTTTGCAGGTTTAGCTATTGTTTCCCAGAAGTCCTGAGGGTAGCCTGGCCAAACCGCTGCCTGGGAAGTCCGCGCGAGGTTGTCACCAGCGCAGGCAGTCGCAGCCCTTGTGGATCAGAGAGAGATTTGCCATTATGCGACTAGTTTGATACCAGGACGGTGGCCGATCCTGGTAGCGGTTTACTCTTATCTAGGCTTCCTGATGGAAAAGCTGGATTCCTTCTCCGCTTAGGAGAACCACAGGGAATTGGCCATCACTAAGTCACACATGGTACAAAGGAGCGTTCAAAAATCCGGAACGATGCGTCCGTTCCTGACTATACTGTATTGCACTTCACTTCGGAGATGTACTACTTCAAAACGAAGACAGAAGTTGCGTTCGTCTTAGTACGCATCACACCTCTATACAACCGATCCCTATTCCTTGTGAAACAGATCTCTCTTCCTTCTTACCTAGTTCCATCACTTTAGAAAATTGCTTGGCTGCTTTAGAAAAAAAACGTTCAATATTCTATAGCAGTGTGCCTTCATGGAGATGTCCTAGCATACTTAAAATTCAATTTAATAGAAGCAATAAAGCTTCAAGAATTAGACGTAACCTTAACAGTTCATAGCCCTCTCTTCCTGTTCTGTGGAATACGTCGTGCAAGAGAAAGAAGATAAATTGTTAGAAATAAACACAAGCATAGAATCCGTTCCAATATCAAGCACAATTCAGCAACAACATCTAGCATTACTATATATCGAAACATTCAACATAAAAGAAGCCCTAGCACATGTTTCCCGTTCTTCTGCAGCTCAGAATTTACCACGTGGGCAAATTTGCTTTGACTAACAATACAGTAGAAATGGATTTGTTACGACATCTTCCCAAATGGTAATTTCCAAGAAGAATGTATTTCTATAGCATATTTTTATTTTTATATATTTTTATTCATATTCTACATATATACATACATAATATAATAATAATGTAACATACATATATTTAATAGCATCATATTCACAACATACGTGACTAATTCGAAACAAAGAATGAAAGTGAAAGATTTCATCCAGAAAAGGCAACAACTATGAATGAACTTTAGGAAGTTGAGCAAAGAGAACAGAGCTATAACAGAGGTGAAAGAAAACACTTCCCCACACCATAAAGTGAATCTTAAACAGTTAAAGCTATACGCTATCATACACAGCGATATACCGAAAGACAAAAGCGATAATATAAAGTGAGCGGAAAACTCATTTCCTTAACTTTTCATTCACTGTCTTGATTATTAGCGACGTCTGGAACACCAACTGATTAGCGGAAACCGAAACCTGAACCAAAACTTAACTAAAAGGACCAAACGCCGATCATATTTGGTCATCATAACCATAAATATTATCAGAAAAAGAGGTATTTTAATCTGTCAAGAAATGTGGAAATAGATTGGATCCTGTTTATTTCACCTTAGATGTTCAACATTTGAACGCTGAAGAAAAAAAAATGGAAGGAAGAAAGAACGGAAGAAAGAAAGAAAAAAAAGAGAAAGAAAGCGTAACACCTGTATGGCATTTTGATCTTTGAAATATGTTTTGAGCGTATTACTAAACCTCTTCGAATAATGGACGAATTCACGCTTCCTCTTCTCGACTGCTAAAACAGATTACATCAAATTTCTTAACAAACATCGGAATCATAGAGCAGAAAGTTGTTCTCGAAATGTTTTGGGGCCCATTGTATAACGCCGATTCCTGGATAGTACTAGCAACTATCACTTAAATTAATAAAATGCTAAGTAAAATCAGTAACTCTAATTTTATTCTTTTTAAACCTTCCTCTTAGCTCTTACGGGAGAGCGCGAACTATTAAATTAGATAACTAAAGCGCAAGGTTATCCGTACCACTATTAACCTATCTATTTAACTAGCGAGTGAAGAACGGATCAACGGTTTTCATTGGCCCATTTTGCTCTACACCAAAGTTACCGCTCTACAACCCGACCGGAACGAAGAACACCATACTCACCGTATAAAATCACTTTTTCACCGTTTCTTTTATCGCTCTTATGCTCATCTCTTATGGAAATTGATTAGATTGATTAGACAATCACAATCCCAGATTTAGAAAACTTTCCATCCCTACGGAGTCAGCAAACTGGCAGCAGACATGTCTGGGAAGACAACAGCACCGAATTGATACATCAATAGGCTATCGCAAGCCATTATAAAGGCCAGATATGCATTAGTTACCCTCTAAACGATGATTAATGAAGTGGAATGCATTGTCCATCCCTCAATAACTGATCAGTGTCAAGAGCCTTACCCTTTTATATTTATCATATAAAATATACTATATTAAAATCCAACTGAAATATTGGTGTTTACACAGCCTGCAATGGCAGGATAAAGGGATGATGTTATAGAAATTTTAAAGCAGCCATAAGTCTAAAAATTGGTATAAAAACATGAGATAGAAAATGTACAAATAAAATTACCTTGCTGCGCAGATTGCGGAACTATCTGGTGTACCGCATTAATTGCCTCAAGTAGTTTTTTAATAGAGGATGCAATCAATTTAATAGTTTCCAAGAACTGATGACGGTCAGCCATCTCATCGGGGACCCGAGACAATATTCGTCGTAACTCAACTGCACTAAAACGGCACGCTTACAAAAACTGAAAGGAGCTCAGAAGCCAGTAAGCATAGAATAGGTGGAGATAATCACCGTTTCGTCAATTCCTTGTATTCCGGAACATGTTCCTGCCCATGCACCACTAGGTCATCGGTCGAGGAGGTACCATGCATCCTGAGATATGCTTCCTGCAATACCCTATATCGCTCCTATCTGCGAACTTCTCTAGTGAAGCACAGTCTTTTGGTATAAGTCGATAGAGATTTTTTTGGAAAAATACATGGATATCTCTATGAAAATTTTGGTTATTGCACGATCATACACTATTAAAAAATGACCTGAAGATTAATATTCAGTTCAGACTCCTCCAAAAGAACCTTTGTGAAGTCGAAAAGAAACGACGGTGAAGCGCTGTCGGAAGCTTTCATTGCGGATCGAAGACGCTTGAAATAGGATAGAATATCACTGCACACTTTATACGGTATGAAACTACTTCATACCGAAAATAGCTGAAAATAACTCGTCTCTTAAAGAAACATATTCAAGTGCATACAGAACTTTATTAATTGGCATAGAAAGCATTAGAATCTATGGTTCTCCGATAATAAGATAAAGTTATTCTAACGTGATAATCGTGAAATGAGATACAAGTTCTTATAACGTGATAAGCTCTGGTCGTTTTATCTTCGATCGAGGTAGGTTTTCCGGGAAGCTGGGCAATTGAACAAGTGGGGCTGCGCCTTAGTCTATGATAATGCCCCTGAATACGCTTAATCTGTACGGATGCAGCGCTTGTGTTCAAATTTCAAAATTTCAAACTATAGTAGTATCGTTTTAAAGCTCTGTTTAAGAAAACTTGGAGCAATATCTTAGAAAAGCCCTTCCGAAAGGTCAAAATGTTTTATAACTTTTTAAACTACTCAAGTCCTTAGATCATTTAAAACTGGTCAATTATCGAGAAACAAGTACCGTCGCCAGTAAGTTAGTAAAAGTTGTAGGCATCAAACTGAAAGAATTTATCTAGTAAAGATTTGTAATAAAATGGGATAAAACGTGAACTTTCTCAAAACCATCTGCCGATATGTCCATTGTTACACTACTGATGTAGTTCTCATTTCCTTAAATCAACTTAATCTCTAGGGGGCGGATAGCACAGTGGTAGTAATGTCCGTCATAACGAGTATGGTGCTAATTCGATTCTGATTCGGGCCCACCAAATCTCTCATCCCTTTGGTGCTGCCGAACTTGTCAGGGAAAAGAAAACCACTCTCTACAATCCAACTGGGAAAGATCTTCGTGGACAACGGATGCGAGGAAACGAACCGAATGTCAGAAGTGCTGCGATCCCCACAGTAGACGTGAAGACGGGTCAAATAAAATAAACAGTGGAGAAAAACTTCATCTCTATCATACGAATATCAAGCATTTCCATCGTTTCTCAGGGCGCGTGTAGCACAGTGGTTGGAGAAGCACTGCAATACACACGGGATAGATCCCCGCGCCCAAAGCTCGCCAAACCTTCCATCTCTCCTGGGCCGCCAAATTGGTACCAGAGTTGTGTGGTAGGATAGCAGCACTGGTTCGATACATCGGTAGGCCACCGCGAATCATTGTAAAGACCAGATATGAATTCATTCATTTCCAACGACGCTTAATGAAGTCGTGCGCATCTCCTCAGGGATTGATCAACTCTGAGAGCTTTATCCTTTTTCTACCCACAACTTCTCAAGAGATGTGAACATAGTAGGCGTCTACGATGTTAGGATTGCTCAAGAGAAAGAAACAAAAAACATAGCGAAGATAAAAAAAAAATTTGAACCTTTACAAATATAGTCCTAAGTCAAATAGTCACGATACTGAGTGCCATTCGCTTTTGTGGTGTAGTAGGGACTAAACACCGAAAAGCGACCTGCTCGCTGCTTCAACAGGTAGGTGAGATTCTGCGATCCGGCTAGCCATCTGCGTTATGCGGGACGGAGATTATAACTCAGCACAGCTTTCTAGGATGTCAACTACATGTGATTGGTCGTGGCAGTTATATGTAATTGGGTTTACACACATAGTAACCTGTCCGTCAATCCAACCAAAATGCTGTATTCAGATTACGGCCGGAGTACCGGGGATTCGAGGCAACCTCATTAATAAAGAACAAGTAAAATACACTCTATCTCTACCTCGGAAGAGCCAAAAAGTGCCAATGACCAGCTCCCAACGTCAAAGCCAAAGGTGGTGCATCTTGAGAAGGTGCAACATAACGGGAAAGTTTGGGGCACGGTGGAAAGGAGTGTTTATTAGTGCCCATACGAGTCGATCGATGACCAACATCATATGGATTATACAGGTGGTATTTCAAAACAAACCAAGACCCAATGTTTCATAAATTCTGTAATAAAAACGCCAAAAGCTTGAAAATGGTATACAGTTTGGACTTCCGTTTTCTCCTATCCAAAAATATCAGAACTGACACTATATGCCCCTCACAAGAAACAAGCCAAAAGGTTAAAATAATACATATGCAAAGTTTCGACTCGCTCAAAAGCGAATCGTGGAATCCTATCATCACAATCTTTTTTCTGTAAGGGAAAGAATTCAAATTCTGGAAGTCACCTTGAAGACTCGAATGGTTCCAGTCAGGACAAAACCAGTCTCACACAGATGAAAAGTAGTGTCAAAAAAGTAAAATGACTGATCTGTTTAGATCCAAGGCTTACATGAATAGCAGCAAGAGTTCGGTCATCGTCTTTATTCAGCAGTCGAAGCTTGTCCAATACTCCACTGTACAGACATTGATATGTCATGGCGCCCAGGTAACCGCCTTCTTCATTCATTGCTGAAATTGCCATAAATAGCAGAAGTCTCTGGAAAATAGAAAGAATAGAACATCCAGAGAACGAGAACAAGCCAGAGAACAAACGAATCAAGAGCTATCATGGAATTGTGAAAACTTCCAGCACTTCCAATCCAAGGTATGGATTTTGCTAAGACAGGATGTATCATCAAATTTTTACCACATTTCCAATCAATAACGACATGACTTAGCTGAAAAGGACAATCGATTCAAATCATCTGAACATGCCACTGCAACAGAACGAAGGGCCCTAAAACGCCAGTGATCTGGTTAAGTAACATGTAATGAAAAACAGAAGTAACTACCGTTCTTCAGATGAAATCTGAATGAGAATAAAGTAAGTCACGCTTGGTAAGACGCTAGGAATCCCAAGGGCTAATCAGAAGACCGCAATGTTCTGCGAACAATCAACACAAGACTGAAAGCGAGATAACTTTCCACAGTGCAGGCTAAACATATCAATGAAAATCAGTGTGGACATAGTCCGTATTGGACCTATACGACTGGTATGCTCAGAGTCTATAAAGTGCACTTTAGTGGCTGAGTCACTCTATGATGAGTGTGCGAGAGTCTGCCATCACGCAGCATCAGATAAGCACAAGTTCTCGTATTCGAATGACTATTTCTAGCGCCTACCTATACTCCAAGATAGAAAGACATGGAACTCCCCTTACGTAAAACTACTCACAAAATAAAAGTTTAAAAAAACTTGTATGTAAGTTAATAGTGATTGTAATGAAAAAAAAGGTCTGCTAAACTTAGTGCTCAACGCTTTGCAAAGAGTGGTAACAACTACGAACTAACGCGCTCCAGTATCGTTTTGTAGGAGGACAACTGGTCCAACGCACTGGTGTAATAGAGCGCGTTTTATGTCCCGAGCATCCTTATGGAAGGGTGGAGCTTTCATTGTAGTCTTGTACCCAGTAATTGTTCCCAGGTGATTTTGTAAAGGATTCTAGATAACTTCAAGTTGTGAAGGAGGAGTTGTATGGAAAATATTTAATAATAAACACAAAAGATATGCAGAAGTATGGTCGTCATCTGCTGGAAGCACTCGATGTTGATTCTGTCTACGGTTTAGGTGCTAGTACTACTTCTAGTTGGCATGATGCCATAAGCTGCAAGTTGTAAACATAATAGAGGCAGTTCTACTCCAAAATACCTATTTATAATGCAAAAAGTAGTGGCTTACCCATCATTCCATACAATGACCCACTATTTGTCTAGTTCCGCATTCAGTACCTTTGTCGACAATTAGTAGTACTGCAGACGCCATATTCAGTATTCGTTGGCGTTGTATACTCTGCTGTTTCCTCTTGTTTTGTCAAATAAGTAATGGGTTAGCGGTAAAAGAGAACTTTCTCAATAAAACCAATGTTAGTGCCATGAACAGCTCAAGAAAGAAAATCCAGGTATGTCGTCAAACCGCAGATGTTCGTCAAGAGTGCTGCACTCTACTTCAGATGAGTAGAGATGTGCTTCAACTGGCTCAATCTACCAAGGGAACTTCGTATAAATGTGATTCCTCGTAACAATATATTCAATCCAGTGACAGAAAAAGGGGTTCGTGTAGCACAGTGGCCAGAGGCGCCATATACATAGGATCTATCGTTGCGCCCATGACCCACCAATCCTTCCATCCTTCTGGGGTGGGAAAATTCGTACCAGACTTGTATGGGAGGATAACAGCACTGGCTCGATACATCGGTAGGGTATTGCAAGTCATTGTAAAGACCAGATATGCATTCAGTCACCTCCAACGATGCTTAATGAAGTCGAGTGCATAGCACGCGCATCCCTCAGAGATTGATGAACACCGAGAGCTCTGTCCATTATCCTTTATGACAGTAGAAACAACTTCAATGATGTCAGGAGTTTTCAGGAACAAACTCTTCTCTCTAAATAGCACTAGCATGTGTAACCATTTAAGGTGACGGCAAGTTGGGCTTCCAATTCGAGCTCCCTCTTTATCTGCAATGTTCTTCATGATTTATTCCTCCTATTTTTGATAAAAACTGGAACTCTACTTGATAGACGAGCACTGGTAGGATTGCACTCATATCGATGCCCTGAGTCGCTTTTTCTTAGTCGATTAAGGTTAGGACAAGGGACAGCCAGTAATCCAAACGGACTTCTATTGACCCGCGTCACGGGTTGGACGTGCAGCGTCCTTGTCCGAATCTTGCTTACTTGACTCTCTGTTTCTGATCGAAATTTCTTGACGTACATAATAGGAAAATTTCCTTGATGAGCTTGATCGATGCCTTAAGCCGACCTTCTTCGATGAGATGACCCTTCGTGAAGTCCTCTGCTGATCTAACGTTCTGAAAGTAAGATGTTATATGGGTAGCTATTAATATTATTTCTTATCTTCTAGATCGAACTGAATTAGTTATGATGCTTTCTGTTACTGAAGCAAGCTGTACCTGTCTTCATCTTTTCGATTAAAATTGGAGCCTAAGCGGTAAGGATCACCTGTGGTATTTTCTCAGTCTGGTACGGTTATGTGAAAAATAAAAATGGTGCAGCACTTCTCCGTTATCAGCTCCATATCATGTAAGATGGTGGTATAGACTCTACCTTCGCTCATCAGCAGTGATAAAGGAACTTTATTTTTGCAAGGTCCCAACGGTCGTTTTTTCAGACTAGCTCCATTTTGTGTTGCGTCCAGCAATCCCACCCCCTGCAAAAATTTTCTTCTATGAGCTGGTTTCTTTCTTGACTAACTTCTTAATGGCGATGGAGATTTGATCAGAATTTTTGATTGAAAAGTGTAGCGTGTTCAGCACAACTTTTAGATCTGACGAGCCTTCCTTACTTGCTAACCATGCATAGAAAGTACTGCCCTCAGGCTGTTCTCAATGTATATGACTTGCGTTTCGTTTCTTCGCCAATGACAAGAAATTTTTTCCGAATTACTGCTGTATCGGATCTTAGGACGAAGAAGGCGAGTTCAGGCTCGGTGCAGAACGGATCACCGATGTGTCAGTTCATGCACACTCTTCTGTCTGCTATATCGTCAATCTCTGCATAAGTCGTAGCATTAGATGACTTCTGTAACCAGCTTTGACTTTGTTTCTTCTAAAAAAAGATGAATTCCCATGGAAGAGACGTGCTACAGAAAAGAGTCGTGCAAAACTATTTCAATTCTCATTCCCTTCTAGTCCAAATTTTCCGATCTTGTAATCACCCTGGTTGACCATTCCTACTCTGGCACTGAAGTCTCCGATAACTGTTACTAACCCGACTTCCACTTAACCTCGGCGTGAATCGAGGTCGTTGAACAGCTTTTATCCGGCTAACATTTCGACGTCTTTGTATTCCTCAGAGCCGATGACTGAAGAAGATCCGATTCGATACGACGACGAAGACACCACATCGAGAAGACGAAAGACTGTAGACATCGACTTGGATCATCGGCTCTGAGGAAAATGAAGACGTCAAAACGTTAACCAGATCAAAGTTGTACAACGACCTCCTGTAAGCTAACCAATCCAATGAAATTTAAAGATTCTCCGATAACAATCTTGGAGAAATATTCATTATTGTAGGTTTCTCCCTACAACTGGGTTTCTCTCTACAACTGATAATAGAACGCAAGAAATTTCTATTCATCACCCGCAGTAGGTGATGCTTATCTTCTTATAACGTATCTCCAATAAATTAAAGAGATTGGCAATGAAGAGATGCGCGAGAAAGCCTAGGACAGCGACATTTTTTCACGGGATCATTTCTGTATGGATGATAAGGATTTCGTCAAGTATGGATGATAAGGATTTCGTCAATTTACTGGCGTATGAAGGTTTTTTGTTTCTTGTAGGATGATCAAATAAAAATTGACGTGGCCTGCGGCCTCAAGAAAAGAGCGAGCTTCAACACCTAAAGGAACTGCTCTTACTTGGCAACCTGTCAGGAAAAAAAAGCGAGGTAGTATTCATCATAGACTTTAGCAACGCTTAAGACTTTCTAATCCATTTACATTTCGCATAGCAATCTTTTTCATTGCTATTCAAGACCGAAATTCCAAACAGAAAACCGTGATTTTGACGTCAAATAAAATCTGCCTCAGCTATATTTTTATTTTATTTTATACGACGCTGTTGGCTCGAAGCGGAATTGAACTAGAACCATGCTGATTATGACGGACATCACTACCATTATGCTATACGCCCCCTCACCTATATTTCCCTCCCTAATATTTTGTTTTATTGTGTATATGCATGCACAGAACGGACCATCTTTGTGGACATCAGTAGTGAAGCGAGGACATGTATGGCAGCACACGTACGATGAGATTTATGAAGATAAGCAAATGTTGTGTATAAAGGTTGCACTGGATTACTTAATCCTTCACTCAGTGATCAAATCTTACAAGGAGAGAAAAAATATAAAGCGAGTACATAACACAGACAAGAAGGAAATGCATAGTATGGATATTATATTCTGGTCATTGTTTATTATTTTAATTTCATATCACCCATCTTTCACATTTGTTGTGCGGATTCCAGCACCTCTTAAATTCGATTCGCTTCGTCGCACCCCATATCCACGAGGTTCTTCCAACACTTTTCGCGCGTGGATACGGTTGTTGCTTGAGGACCTTCTTTTGTCATGAATATCGTTGAATGCAGATCAACTCAATTCTCCCTGGAGTCCAGCGATATCACAGCGAGAACGTCCACACTTGGATTACATAGAGTGAACCTTTCTCAGATAAGTCTGGTACCAATTCCCAACCCCGGAAGAATGAGAGGTTTGGTGAGCATGGAACGGTGTCGAACGAACACTATGCTCGTGATGATCTTCATCACACTTACCCATCACTTAGATATCAGCCCGTTTTTGTTAGATATCGTTAGGAAAAAGCGCAAATTTTCAAACAACACTAAACAACCTCTTGTTGAGACACGTGCGGCGCTGTGACTAGAGACGCACTGTAGTGCACCTAGTTTTTGGATCGGTCCCGCGTACGAACAACAC